GCAGTGAAATGTTTTTATGACAAAAATGTTTAAAAGTACACAGAACACAGTAAAAAATCCTGAATTTTTTTGTAGAATGAAATGTGACCCATCACATCGAAACGAGGATTAAGTCCAAAAGTGATGTATGGAGAAATAGGCAAATATAGTGTTTTGACTACAATGTTAACAAAAATTGCATTTTGTCAAAATATAATGAATAAAAGCATTGTTAATGTATCATTTGAATGAACTGTCTGAAATATAATCATAAAACAAAATTTTGAAGCACTATTTTGAACAGTAGCAACAAAAAAACTGATTTTGAGGAAAAACGCCTTAAAATTTTAAGATTTTCCCCGTGAGCTAGCAAAGTGTTTTTTTTAGCTGGGAAATCTCAATATTCAAATAAAATTAGAGGTTTCCTCTTTAAAAGGACATCAAATTAGGATTCAGACCAAATATTTATGTATTATTATAACCAACAAGACAAATTAAGTCATATATATGGATTTAATTATGATACCAGAATGATCCAGGTATCAAAATGTAGCTTTTAAAGCCAAGAATCTGAAAATGTAATTAGATCATTTTGACCAAATTCGACTTAATCCTCATTTTGATATGATGGGTCACAAATATGCAACCTCATCACACTGAGTCATCTTGTCCTGCGCGTCCTTTCTGCGAGATGTGTGGAAGTATGTGTGATCCTGTTGTGAAGGGTCCTCCCACTGGGTGTGGACTGAGTTCAGATGTGCAGAGGGTAGTGTGAAGATGTGGCATCAGGACATGTAGTGAAGACGCTTGCATCTGGAGGTGTAGTGAAGACACGTGCATCAGGATGTGTAGTGAAGACGCGTGCATCAGGATGTGTAGTGAAGACGCGTGCATCAGGATGTGTAGTGAAGATGTGGCATCAGGGCGTGGAGTGAAGACGCATGCATCAGGGCGTGGAGTGAAGACGCATGCATCAGGAGGTGGTGTGGAGATGCTAGCCTTGTCTGGGACAACTGGAGATGAATCCACAGCGCAGTCTGGATTGTTGTTGATGGAAAACATCAACAACATTAAAATGTACACAGTCTTTGCATAGTAGAAACAGTAAAGTGTCACTTATTTTTGTAATTTTTGTTTAACATTGTGAGGAAAAGTTTCTCATTCAACACTTTCACACATCACATGTCCTTGTGACACAACTTTGAAGAAGGGAGATATAACTAAAGTATGGATGATTTTGATTTATTGAAATCAAGTTGGCATACTAAAAGTGATTAATGTGGTAAGACTTAGGGTTTCAGGAGTTCTGATAGGCTTTGCTGTGCCTTCTCCCTTCTTGAACTTGGGAAAGAATAATCTACATGGGCTCTCCAGATGAGGTAGTTGCCAGCAGACATGCATTTTCATTGAAATGCATTGCAGCCAGGTACAGTCTGGTTAAAATAGCATAAAAGAATATTACGTTAGTTTGAAGTTGCACCATTAAAACTCATCTAACACACAGTATTTTGAATAACGAAAAAAACATAAATACAGAGTGACTAAAACAACATTGCAGCCGATATTTTTTGACCGATTCTTGAAGCTGATACTACTGTTTCTTCCTCCCTCCATTAACATGATAAAAATGAGAATGATAACAAATGTTACACAAGTCTTAATTTAAAACAAAACAAACTAAAAAACATTTATTAACTAAGCCTTGTCTGAAGAGGCTGTATAAAGTGCTGCCACACAGGATTTCTTCTTTTAGACCTTTTTTTAAAAAAATCATAACTTATTTTATCT